GGAAATGTCAGTAAGCATCACTTATTATATTTTATTATTAAAATGCATATATTTTGTTTACAAAGTTCAACAGTGAAATATAATAATTATATTAACAATAAATTTGAAAAGTTACATATTTAGATGAACACTGAAGTTACATATTTAGATTCAGAGGAAGACAAGTGGGAGCATTAAATGTGAAATAAAAAATAATCTACTTAAACATATAATGCGGTGCAACGAATGGAAGCAATCTTTAAGAGCATCTACACAATACATACATAATGATGATACAGTCATAGTATAAAATAATGTTGAGTTTAGCTTTAATTAAATTTTAATCTATTGACGCGATTAACTTTCTTAATTTAAAAAAGTCGAGGTAGGATCAAAATATTGTTACGTGTTAGGGGTTCGAAGGATTTGGAGAGAAAGACCTGCTGACTCTTTTGAAGACTTTATTCAATAGCACTAGGTCAAACACAAAGCACTAGGTCCAAACACTAAGCACTAACGATGTCCTGTTTTGTAGCCAAGTCGTAGGTTTCACTGGTATCGCTCTTGATCACTAGTTTTCGCTCCGAAGTCGCCTCGAAGGTAGCTCAAACTGAACTGTGATCGCTCGCGTCCCTGCGGCTTTTTATATGGGCCGAGACCGGTTCCGGACTAATCCAGATAGATCATTCCTGGAACGTACCCGACACGCACGAACATGTTTGTGATTCCGGAAAGTTCGCGAATGTTCCCGGTTTTCGAGACTGTAGTTCCACAGCAGTTCCTCTAACGCCATCTAGTGTTAAATAGGGGGTTTTATGTCGTCTTTGTTCTTTAGTGGTTTTAATAGTTGACGCTAGATGGCGTTAGTTCCTTTGTGTGTTCATAACACTACTCCCCTCTTAGAGATGCTCGTCCTGAGCATCATTGTTACTGCCATGGTAACGCGCCAGACGGTCTATGTGTATCACTTTGAATGTCCCTCTTGGTTGCTTTTGAATCCTATAAGTCACATCATTCAGTCGGGTAACCACTTTGTATGAACCGTCCCACTTGGTCTGCAACTTTGGGGATTTCCCTTTCCGACGAGTTGGGTTATGCAGCCACACCAGTGACCCTTCCTCGAAGCCGTCCGTGTTCGATTTCCGGTCGTATCTGGTTTTCATGTTCTCACTTGACTGTAACCCATTTTCCCGAACCAAGGCGTGTATATAGCGCATTTTTTTCCTTAAATTGCAGACATAGTCTTGTACGGTCTCTGGTCCCTCCGGTGACCCTCCTGTCAATAGGTCTACTGGTAATCGTAGTTCTCTACCGTAATTGACATACGCCGGGGTAGCTTTTATGCTCTCATGCTCGGCGGTTCGGTACAACAGAAGGAAGAGTGGTATATACTTGTCCCAATCCTTTTGTTTGTCGTCTACCAATTTCGCCAGATGCCTCTCAAGGGTCTGGTTAAATCTCTCAACCATTCCATCAGACTGTGGGTGGCACGCGGTGGTCCTCGTCTTATGCATGCCCAAAATTCTACACACTTCCTGGAATACTTGCGATTCGAAGTTCCTGCCCTGATCGGAATGGATTTCTAGAGGCACACCAAAGCGACATATCACTTCTTCGACTAACTTAGAAGCGACTGTTGTAGCTTCTTGGTTTGGTATGGCGAACACTTCGGGCCATTTGGTGAAGTAGTCCATGACGACCATAAAATACTTGTTTCCCGACTCCGTTACAGGAAATGGCCCAGCTACGTCAACTGCAATTCGTTCCCACGGTGCACCGACGTTATACAACCGCAGGTTCCCACGGCTTCTGGTCTGTGGTCCTTTTACAGCAGCGCAAGTAGTACATTTGCGGCACCAATCCTGTACATCATCTCGACAGTGCAACCAGTAGAATCGTTCTCGCACTTTTGTTAACGTCCTCTTGACACCTAGATGACCTCCTGATAAGCGATCACGTATTTCACGGAGAACATCTGGTACTCTCGTTCTGGGACAATTATCTGAAGATGGAACTCTCTGCCGTTAGTCTTCTCCCATTTCCGGTAGAGTATTCCGTTTTGAAGTATCAGACTGTCCCATTGCGCCCAGTACGCCTTTGTGACGGCGCCAGTGGGAGCAACCTCACTCCAGATTGGTTTTACGTCACCCCGTTTCTTCCATGTGATGATGTGCCGCAGGTCGTCGTCACTTTCTTGAGCCTCTCTCATAGCATCATTCTCCCAGAGACCCAAAGGACTTGTCCTCGTTAGCTTTAATGTAACTTCATTAGATTCCTGCTTAACACAATGTTTGCAGTCTTCCGAACACGGCCTTCGTGAGAGTGCGTCGGCATTCCCATGCGTCTTTCCGCTGCGGTGTTTCGTCTTGAAGTCATTGAGTACCTCAGTCATTGATCCGTAGTTGTGGCCGTTTACTGGAGCTTCCTCCGCGTCAGCCAGTACTCGCTCCTTAGTCCCGGCTTTTATTCGTTTCCCTGAAGCCCCTTGCTTCTTCAGCTCCTTTATTTGTTCCTCAATCCTTTTCATCCTTTTCATCCTTTCCATCTGGGTCTCCTTCTGCGGGCAGTTGAGCTGAAGATGGCCCCTCTCGCCGCACTTGTAGCATATGGGTCCAGAACTTCTCTTCGTAGGGGCCTTAACCTCCTTGACTTCCTCAGAGACCTCGCGGATCTTATGGGTCTGCCGCATGTCATATCGAACAGCCTCGACCTCCAACGCGTGCGCCAATGCCTCCTTTAGCGAGGTATGGTGACGAAGCCTCACTGCGGCTCTGACCTCTAGGTCTTTGATTCCGTCCACAAATGCTTGAACAATATTTGTGTCTACCATCTTGGTGTCGGCTCCTGGGTGTGCCTTCCTGACGAGTTTTTCAATTTCCAACGCCCATTGTTGTAGTCCTTCTCCTGAGCGTTGGACTCGGTCACGCAGTTGGGCACGAAACACGTGCTCCAGGTGTCGCTCCCCGTATCTGGATTCAAGTGCCTCCATCAGGTCTTGGAACCCATTTCCTGTACGTGGCAGTGCTTCCAGGACCGACAAAGCTTGCCCTCTAAGCGCAACAGTAAGAGCGGTCAGGCATTGCTCTTCTGTCCACCCGTTGGCAGTAGCAACAGTCTGGAATTGCCGACGATAAGCGTGCCAAGAAGTAGCGCCGTCGTATGGCGGCACTTTCACTCTTGGCCCTTGTGCCACTCCAGTAGTGCCACTAGACATCGTGACTCCCGTGGTTTCAAGGCGCACTACTTTCTTCTGTAGTTCAGTGAGGCCGGTTTTAACATTTACAACGTCCAATCCTAACCCGGTAACTCGTTCTTCCACTACATCGACATCTTTTCGGAGCTTAATCACGGTGTTACTAACATCATTTATAGCCCAAAACGCTTTTTCTTGGAGATCTTTTTGTTGCTCTTGTGATTGTCGAATCGCTCTGATTTCAGCCTGTTGAAACTCTTGAATCGTAGTCAGCTTGCGTTCTTGTGTCTCTTGCAAAGCGCCGAGCTTGCGTTCTTGCGACTCTTGCAAAGCGCCGAGCCTGCGTTCGTGTGATTCCTTCATTGCTTGAATTTCAGCCCTTTGCAGCTCCATTAGTTCAATTAAACTTCCTAATTGAAGAGCCACTTCAGGGGCTGCAGAAGTTACGGTGCCGTTGGTGGGCGTGGCAAGGTGGGCGGGGCCAGTGGGCGTGGCCCGGTGGATGGAGTCGGTGGGCGGTGCTTGCACCAAAGTGGGCGGGGCCTGAGCCGGAGTGGGCGGGGCCTGTGCCAATGTGGGCGGAGCTTGGGCCCGAGTGGGCGGGGCTTGGGCCTGAATGGGCGGAGTCTGAGGGGCGTGGTCGGTGGGCGTGGCCTGGTCGGTGGGGCCAGTGGGCGGGGCTTGTCCCACAGTGGGTGTGGCCTCCGCAGCTCGTGCCCTTGTCCTGACACCCTCCTTGAAGTCCTCTCTCGGAGTCAATGGCATATCCAAATCCCACTTCTGACACCAGTTGTTACGTGTTAGGGGTTCGAAGGATTTGGAGAGAAAGACCTGCTGACTCTTTTGAAGACTTTATTCAATAGCACTAGGTCAAACACAAAGCACTAGGTCCAAACACTAAGCACTAACGATGTCCTGTTTTGTAGCCAAGTCGTAGGTTTCACTGGTATCGCTCTTGATCACTAGTTTTCGCTCCGAAGTCGCCTCGAAGGTAGCTCAAACTGAACTGTGATCGCTCGCGTCCCTGCGGCTTTTTATATGGGCCGAGACCGGTTCCGGACTAATCCAGAAAGATCATTCCTGGAACGTACCCGACACGCACGAACATGTTTGTGATTCCGGAAAGTTCGCGAATGTTCCCGGTTTTCGAGACTATAGTTCCACAGCAGTTCCTCTAACGCCATCTAGTGTTGAATAGGGGGTTTGATGTCGTCTTTGTTCTTTAGTGGTTTTAATAGTTGACGCTAGATGGCGTTAGTTCCTTTGTGTGTTCATAACAATATTATAGTTACGGCAGAGACTATTTTCATGGCACGCATTTCGCTATCGGACATCAATGATACTAAGATTTGATGTTATAAGCGCCTTCTAAATTAAAAAAATGAGACGGACATGAAACGCGAAAAGCACAGGTTCGAAAAAAGCTGTACATATTATAAGAACTAAACATTTATAAGATTTATTTATTTACTAAACGGAAATGTAATATTTCGTTGAATTGAAGTAGGTATTATGCTTGTATTTTTTTGTTGCGTTACCAACATCCTGTTTGTAATTGCCCAATTACTGACAGGATGTTGGAAATATCATTTACCAAATTCGTTTAAATATGATGATATGCAATTAGTGTGGAACTATTACGAGTAGTATCAAAATTTTACCTTGCTCTTAAGTTATATATATAAATCAAGCATTTTTTTTACTTTAAAAATTTTACTCAATGAAATTTAAAAACAAATACCAACTTGTCATGCCTCGTGAAAGTTGAGCGAAAACAGAAAAAACATCAACGTCATTTTTTAATTAAGTGCACAATCTGCCCCACTCAGGCAACCCTAAAAAAGGATGGTATAATTAATGATCGCTGTTGTATAGTTGATGTGAATGAAATCTCGAGCGTGCTCTATGAACAATAGCATGGCTTTAACTCTAATGACGAAACTCCAGCTAGTGTTGCCATAAATGTTTGCAATAATTTATATTAACATGAATTCCGTTATAAACAGAACTACTTTCGATAGCCCAAACATAAGGTTTTGTTAAGGGTAAAATTGTAATCTTAAAATGTAAAAATTAAAAAATAAATAACTTCTCATAAACATTAACCCTATAAGAAGATTACGTTTATCAGTGTAGTAAGTAAGTAGTGCAAATATTGTTACTCACTTTCAAAGATTTAATAATTTTCATCGTTGTCGCACTAATGGTTTGTAAACACAAATTATACGACAAGGAAAAAACGAAACCGTATCCAATGACAAAACGGTTTCCTTCCCTTGTGGGGGAAGTGGATTATATTTTTAATTACCCCGAAACTAGGTTAGTTTTGTAGGTGGGTATCGCCGGCGCGACCTACTTGCATTTGTGCTGTCTCATGCCATTGCTCAGCGAACACAGCCGCGCCCGCCTTTTCTAACACCTAACTGCGATTATATAACAGCAAAAGCACTTACCGTATGCACAAGTTAATTACAGTATCAGTTATTGGTGTAGATTATCTTAAATCAATTAGCATACATATTTTTTAAATAGCGCATTTAAATATAATTTTAACATTATTCAAAAATATTAAACAAATTTTCTTCAGTGAAATAATAAAACGATCATTTGCGAAAACATTTCGAAGGACACCGGTCAAAAATTAAACTACACTAATTAACATTTACGATGAAATTTAAAGATATTTTGTTCGCTTTGCAATGTACGTTCTACTTTGACCGCATTTAATATTAATTGTAAAATTTACATTCGGGTACAACTTACGAATAAACCTAATTAAAAACATCAACGGTAACAATTAATAGTATACATATAATTATAAAACCAACAGTTACAAAATGCTTTACATAATTTAAAGCAAATATTTGAATAAATTTTAATTCTGAATGGCAGGAATTAATTTAAAGTATGTTAGTGTGTCAATTTTTTATTTTATTATGTAACTTATAAAATCTCTTAGTACTCACTAAAAATAATGTCATAGGACAAAAAAATACTGCATTATTTTAACTTCTGACTCAGAATTTATGAAAATCGAATGTTTTGACTCTATAAAAAATTTATATCACCACTTTATTATAATAAGAATTAGGAGTTGCAGATGACATCTGAAGGAATGAAATAGGTATCCTAATTTAATTAGACTGAAATACTATGTGGCTTTTATAATAAACGAGAAATCTTCATTCCTAAAATATTCATTTTTTGCTACAATACCTACTAAATACTTATTGTAATTGTATTTCCCAAATATGAAAATTCGATGTAGTGTAATATTTAATAGAGAAATCATCAATAAAAAAGTTCTGTCAGTTATTGCAATGCCAACTGACATTATAAATTGATTTCTAAAACATGGAATATTAAAAACGACCTACGAATACTACTTATTTAGAAACACTGCAAAATTATTTAATAACTTGTGTCATTGTGTCTAAATCAATAACGAACTTACCGTCCAAAATGTAAATCGCTCATAATTGGGCATAAAACGAGGTTAGATAAACCTTGGTAAAACTACATCTAAGATTAGCGTGGCTCTTTGTAAAAGCTACTTAGCGGTCACTTCACTTTGTTAAACCCACCGTGGCTGGCTGGTTATCCTTGTAATGTTCATGATTGTATAAAATTACTGTTATCTTGAATTAATCTTTGAATCAGTAAGGTTAACTTAATTGTATTTTATAAAAGTTATTTATAAATACATACAGGGTGGCTTTTCTAAGTGTATCCATTTTTTTAATTAAATTCTATAAAAATTAATATTATATAAAAAATGATAAATCTTTAAAATCACTCGTAAGTAATTGATTACATTCATTTGAACTTATCTCAAAAAGTGCGTGATTTATACGCAACTCATTTATCATATACACCATTTAACCGGATTGGCTGGCCTAGCACCCGTGAAGAGGAGGCCTAAGAAGGCCATAGCCGTGCCGGGGTCGCGGAAGATTGCGTCTACGTGTTCCCGTGTCCCCGGCCGATGCGACAGAGACTGGTGCAACGTGGGTTTTTGGTGTGTACCCGTCACCGGAACTCCCACATACCCCTGCCACTCCCCCGATCCATTGGCAGGGGGGATCCATAAAGGATTTCCTGAGGAAAATAAAAGAGTCGGACCAGGTTGCTAGTTTGCCTCGTTTTCTTAAAAAATATAAACGTTGAAAAAAAAAACTCTATCGTTGGTTTTCCTGCGAACTTTAAACCCCAATCCACCAGGAAATCGCCGTGTAGCAAGTTGATAGTAAAATAAATGAAGTAAATATAACGTTGCTTAAGTACTTCAATTAAAACTTCCGGATCATATCTCAGTTGGGATCGCATTTACAAAGAAAAAACAACCACTAACTTTTTGAGGCCCATAGCTGCCCTTTGTTTAGAGCTACCACGTACTCTCGAAGGTCTGACGCACACTTCGGGGGCAGGGTCAAATTGGCATCGAGCACCTCTAGCCAATCGTGATGGTCCATTAGCCCCTTCATCCAGGACATACGGGAGCCCGAAAGCACTTCGTCATCCGTTGAGTTTAGATCAGCACAAACAACACTCACTAACACTGACACAATAATCGCGTACATTGTTTCGCGCATCGTGGATCTGTTACAGAGCATCATAAGATCCCAATTATCATTTTAGTCTATATGGCTAAGTTAATGATCACGAGCACCAATCATGATTTCTGCACCTGGAAAAATAACAAAGGCTACATGAAACACTGTATTTTAAATATATTACCACAATATCTTGTATTAAGTACATAAAACTATTTTTCTTCACGGAAATCCCTCTTTTATGCATCACGGGTCATCTAAATTTTATTTCCAACAAACTCGTCTTGTATACTAGACTAGTTTTTCTTTAACTAATGAATACGTCAAGACTATGAATAGGAAAAAAATAAAATGATCATCATAAAATGAAATCTTATCCGTTTTAAAAAAAAAACATAGGAAACAAGTTTCCTATGTTAACCATAACAAAAATAAAAAAATATTTATTAACATTTATTATATCTTTCTCGAAGTCATAAAAAACTTTAATCTTTCGATTAACCGCATTGTTACGCATTTTACTTTAAATTACGCTTTGAAACTTTTCATTCGTTACATTTTTTATCCTTATTGCTTTGGGCGTTCATTATGGGACGTATTTAGGCGACGCAAACGAGGTCCTCTGGCTCAGGATTTATGCATGCACGTTACGGAAAAGACCTTGCTTCATTCTATATCTCTCCCGGTAAAATTGAACCTACTAACATTTAAGATTTTGCCTGTAATATCGCCGAGTGAGTTATAGTCGGTTTTTTATCAAAATATATGCTGGGACGCTGAAAGCTTTATGTTCTTGTACTGTTAGAACAATCAAGGTCAATAAATATAAAATATTTGGAGGTCTTCTGACATTAAGTTGAGTTGTGTTCAAATACCTTTGAAACAGCTACTTTCTTGGCTCTTGGTCTAAATTTGGAGGAAGCAAGAGCTATGAAAAGATGTCTCATCTAATTATCGTTTTACGAATATGATTCTGAAACCGTTGTCGATTTTAAATATAATTATGAAATCATATTATTCTCGATGACTGTTAAGTCATCTAAAATAATGCAAAATATATAAATATAAATGTGCCATGAAATTTCGACACGAAGGAAACGTTCGTTCGCATTCGTTCCGGAAATAAATTAAAAGTAAGCAAGCTCGTATGAGCAAGAAATTACCGTGGGATCGTACTTACGCCTCATTCATTACGTGGCTCTATGAGTTGCGACATCTCTGTGAGAAAGTGAGTTGTATACGTTCGTTAGTTACATCCCAATGATGTAGCGATTTTTTCACTCTATCATTACACTTATGAAACAAAACTCAACACATCCCTCACATTATAATTAATTCAATAGACAGTGATAGTCTCGCAGGCGATTGTGAGGGATTATTTTAGTGTTAGAGCCACGCACAGGGTCAAATTTCGAGGTCTGGAGGCACCCTTGGCTCCAAATAAAATAAACAATTTTTTTCAGTCGAGTTTACCAATAAATTATTTATTGTGAAACCAAGAACAAATTCTTTAATTTATTTAACGAACATATAAATAAATAATAAAAGGATTATAGAAAAAATATGAAAGGAAAAGTTGTTTACTAGTTTGAAATTGAATTTTTTTTCCGAAGCCTCTATTGTCTTTTGTCGCTCCTCTTTTGTGGAGGCCCCGGGGCTGTAGCCCCGCTAGCTGTAGCTGTTGCCCTCCCATAAATCCGGCCCTGGCCACGCAGAATCTTCTGATATTTTACGAACCAACGAGCTCGTACAGGGAAATACGACCTAACGGGATGAGACATTGAGTGGAATAACTATTATACTTTTGCAGTTCTTCGGCAGTAGAGTAATCGTGGCCCAATCATTTGGAGATTTATTAATGTGAAAAGTTGTCAAGTAAGCAAACGGTTCTCTTACGTTAAATATTCACCCACCATGATTGGTCCTGCTTACCACAGTCACAAATTATTAAAATAAGTTCGCTCCACGCCGTTCTTCCATGAGCCGGGGTACTTGTCCATACTGGTCTGCTCATTCGTGCATCAAAAGAAGCTGACCACAGCTGGCAATGTATTTGCAAAACAACAGCAGGGCAGGGCAGGGCTAATCACTTAAAATCTGGTTAATCGACGTCACGCTTTTCAAGATTGTCATTTAAACTTATTTTATGAAGCCTTCAAAGCACAAAATCTACTCAAAAGCTTAACGATTACGAACACTAACGGAAACAGAATGCGCTTGAATTTCAAATCCACGCTTTGACGGTATTCAACACGGATCCAACATTAATGCAAGTCTCTCACAGTAAGTCTTTCGCCTTCATGTGGAACTATTCTTAAATATTAATCGGGCACTAAAGTTAACAGAAGAACATTTCCCTATTCAACGGTATGTTAAAATTGTATAAACTTTTTTTGTCAAAAGATAAAAGTTTACCAAAATAATTGTTAAACGTTTAAAAAGAATTCAAAATCTACATCAGGTTATCAAAATTCTAAACCTTCATTATTTAAATTATTTTAAAAGCCTTTAAAAAATTCACCGAGTTACAGACATAATTATTATGTTGTTTGCAATTTCTATGTTACGTTATATGTCCATTATTACTAAACATCCGATTGGGCCATGAAATAAATTGATACAAAATATTACTGCGTAAAATATATTATGCACTATGTTATATTTATGCATTTAATATGAATCATTTTTGTTATTTTTTTAAATTATATATAACTCAAAAAAGTAAAAAATATCATTCAAGTACATAGTATTTGGTTAAAAAATTTAAGTTTATATACCAGGTAATAAAAAAATTCTGCGTTTGTATATTTGCCTATATGTTATTTTAATATATAAAATAAGTTTAATAGGTGTATTTAAAAGTTTAGTTCATTATATTCCGTTTGAGGTTCACGCAAACAATATAGAGTTCTTTAGATTTGTGTTAAAAATCCTCAGTACTTTCTAAATGAAACACGGAACTGGTTAGGGTTTTACTTAAAAAACTTGTCACTTTAGCGTCTTTTGCAAAATAGCCGTCCAGATACCTCTCGTTATGTGGAAGCCAGGCCGCGTTGTTCTCAAAACCGCGCGGGCGTACCTTTGGTAAACCAGTACATTATATAACGCAATGCGTTCGTGTACTAGCCGCTGTCTTACGGCATTTGCGCTTTAGCAGGTTCCGCTTACGGAGATGGATTGCAGATAGTTGCGATTAATTTGATGAAAATCTTTTTTTAAGAACGCCGTTATTTTATACTGTCTACGATGATTTACACTTTTCTCTACATCATACAATGGAAGCATTTACGTGGTTAGTGATTTCTACGTAACATCTATACATAATGAGCTTGGTTTTTTTATCTAACAGGTTCAGAAGAGAACTGATACGGATACTAATACTTCCGAAATGATACGTTACATTTCCGTTGCTGCTGTCAAAAGGAGAAGCTATTTAATAGAAAAAATTTGTGTTTGTCAAGAGAAAATGATTACGAAAATATATGGTAATTTGTCTTATATTAATAAATATTACATATTGAGTCTGTTGATATTTTGATCATTACCGAGACAGATGTATAAATAATAGCAATAAAAAATAATTCGTATCCTATCAAATCTTTCAATTAGCCTCGGGACATACATGTCTATATGACTCCAATTTAACTTTGCCTCTCACCCGCTTTATAACAAAATCAGTTGCCATCATAAATGTATATCAAGATTCATTAGGATTACAGACGGAGCTACGAGTACGTCAAAATTACAGTAAATGCTGTCTGAGAATGAGCTTTGTAATAACATGACAAATATGGACGTTTATTGTAGTATAACAAAGCTAACACGTAGCCATTAAGATCATTGTTGTCAGCAGCTTCAAATTTAATTACGTTCTGTGTTTCAACAATAATTTCGTGATTGTCATTACAGAACAGGGTGTTATTACGAAACTCAATTAACGTCGCCAAACAAGAGACTTTTCTAATAACGACGGCGACAGAAAATTATGAATAATTTCGTGGAAAATGAAACGTGACACGAAATTTTAATACGTTTAAATGATTACGTTTGCTTTAAAAATGAAAAACAACGCTATATATTTTTCATGCTTAAAATATTTTTCAAATTAGGCTTGATTTTGACGAGCATAACGCGTATGCTGTGCGTATGACATGATTTGAGCATTATCTATTTTGCATTTTGTTTTCGCGTTCTTAATATGACATTTGTACTAACTCAAAATTTTTATTATAGGTGAAATTCAGATAGTTATAACAGAGTTTGTAAATAAAATAAATTTGATAAAAAGTGACCCGTAATTTCATATTGAGAACACATATTATATAGTACTTAGAATGGATCAATGAACAGAATTATGCTGTGAGCATATCGTGTGAACAAATCGGAAATCCTATATCTTAAAATCGGTTTTACAAGATAAATCCTAATAAGCTACGTCTCTATACGGATCTGAACAACATGTGCTTGTATCTATAATAGTTACTGTCACTGTGTTTTGTACGAATATCCTAGAGGATGCATAATCAGCATAGGCCAAAATACAAATGTATATGATCACGCGTCGCTTATTTTAAACATTGAAACAATTCCAAATTCAAAATAACAATTGATAAGGATGGAATGCTAATAAAAGTTGTCAAATCGTATTAAAATATGATTCAAAGAGGGAAGTAAGGAAGATGCGTTGCCTTGTGAGTAACCAGGAATCTCATTTAAATATTTTGCCCATCAATTAGTCCCAGTTTGTTTAAAGCCAATCTTGCGATTAGCTAGCCTCTCGGTTTTCAGCTTGTAGCATTATAGAGAATATATCAGAATTACACGAATTAATTCCTCCCTTCTCGGACGACTAGATTCATGGACATACACACACTCGGAATAATTATATAATTTTATACTTGCCATTAAACGCACTCGAACAAAGCGCTTCACTTTGTCATTCATAATGTGTACAGCAAAATAATCGAACGATTTGCAAGCGTATGACTTCCATCCAAATATAACGTTCGGGTGTCTTCAAGGCTGTATTGACTACGCTAATGCGTTTGTTATCTACAAATGGGTTAGCAATAAAGCACTAGAGTACCTTATAAAAATTCAGGGGAACTCTCTGCCTACTTATCAAATATTCGCATAAAAATTGCTTTACTCGTATAAAAGTAATTGTAATACACTCACTATACTTCAATTTTCATATGAAGAAAACAATTTCCTTTACCTTTAACAAAATTCGTTCTAGAACAAAAGGGCGTTAATCTTCATCATTAAAGGTACATACAGAAGGCGGCTATATTTATATCATTTAGTGAAATATGCATATATTTCACTAAATAAGATAGTAACGTCTTTCTTTTTGAAAGTTTTCTGTCTTCTGTATACACAGAAGGTGGCTATATATGCAACCTGTTTAAATAAGATAATTTTAATTCATTAAATTTAATTTTAGAAATGTTGCAATGTACCAATATATCAATAAATAAACTCAATATACCTATAAATCAACCGTTCCGAATTTATCCTTTGTTCGCCAACGTGTTGTGGTGTATTCATTTGTCGTTAAGTAGACATAGTTCAACAGAATGACCTAGATATGCTGAATAGTTTGTTTGGGCCGGTGGTTTGTGGTTGTCAGAACAATGCAAGTTGTGAGGTATTTCTAGTGAAGATGTCTTGGAATTACAAACACATAACTACGCCGGAGTCACTCTGGACTGGCCCTTCGCTCATTTGTTATAGTACAGAAGTATTGTACGCGCATCATTAATTACAGTACCATACGTATTCATGTAAACGCAAGTCTTCATTATTTTCAGTAATACTGTGATTTTAGATAAGCTTTTCTAATGCAGCTACATAAAAAAGAAGCTTGATTAATAAATATTTCTGGTACATGATCTTGTTTAGAGAAATATGCATGAAGAAGGTGGCTATATTTTTAACCTGTTTAAATAATGTTATGCCAATAAAAATCACAGAGGTCAAGTGCAACTATTTAGTGAGAACGCATCCCACGTTCTTGACACCAAACCACCAAAGCAGTAAGTACTCTTCAAGTTTTGAAGCAACAAAAAACCCGTTTTTTTATTAAAGATTTTACATAATGTTCTTTAAAAGCTATAACCATACACTTCGAATATTAACTAGACCAAAATGGAGTACATAACACGTACATTTGTAAGCTTACAAATTGATTGCATCGCAGATTCCCATTCAACAGTGGAGTTACTCCCCGGTATTGGAATTCTGGTAAGTTGCAAAATCTGTATGTGAAACCGTGGTTACGACATTAGTGAATCATTATTAAATTATTAAGTGAATGATAAAATCCAATCTGCAATCATAATGTATAAAGTGCAACAAATCCTTGACGGCGTACATTACGCGATGTGAGCGTCCGTTGACACCACTAACTCAATACGCACTTGTGTGTGGTCATTAAAGTTTGTATTTCTTATTTGCTTTGACCTTATTTCTATTAATGACAAGATTACACGCACATGCTTATATATAACCTTGTTAACGCTTCGTCAAACCTTCTGCATGGGCGTGTAATGCAATACGCGAAATGTCGATTACAAAACCGCAAAGCAAATGTGAATTGGCCTAATTTTGTACACCATCCATATGAGACTGTTTTACGAAATTTTTCTAATACATGATATAAACTATATACATATATTAAAAATAAATTATGAATACAATTGGAGAGATTTTTAGAATTATACTAATCGAACATACCCTACAGGAACATATAGTTCCTCTTTTATTTCCTTAAGCATATTTGAGATAAAGAAATTAATAGCAAAAGTAATCTTTTAGACTTTTTGTGTTTACGCGAATATAATACAATGACGATTTGTTTCGTTTGTTTTTATCACTTTAATTCCTGACTCATACACCTTACAGAGTCCCATATACACGGGATAGTCTGACATAGTCTTCTGACTCTGTAAAATTAATACGCGTATTCGTCCGTAAATGAGTTTAATTAAATTTTCTTGAGACCTTAAAGTTTCGTTATGTGATCTAAAATAATAAAGAATTATAAACCTAATTTTTATAAGAGCCAGTTCTCGTCAAATTGGACTTGTTTCTTTGTCGCATTTGCCATCAGTAAGTGAAATATTCAATTCATTTTCCTTGTAATGAACGATTTACTTCAATTTTAAAACAATTCAATTTCTATGCCACAAATCTCTTTGAAATAAGTTCAATAATTAATCAATTTATTCAGTTACTCACTGACTGGGTCGACAAATACAAAACACACACGAGCGCATGTATGCACAAAAGCTTGTCTAAATTTAGGTAATGCAATAATTTAACACCGAACGTGTTCTTGGAACCTTTATCATCTCCAAAAACTCTGAAGACGCCAATAAAACTTTGGTCTTCAAAAATAAACTAGGAAACGCATCTGCAATCTTTTCTGTTTTTTACTAGATTAAATCTTAATACGCTTTAATAGCGTATTAACGTTTCATTTCATATTCATTTTTATGGATCATGATCAGTGTTTGCTTTGAATGGATTGCATGAAATCCTTCTGTAACATATTGAATTTTAAAAAAGCAATTTCGGCCATAAAACCGCACCAATTTCACCGCTCTCTAAATCCTCGGGTCTCGTACGAAATCTTATGAAAGGGGAAAGGTACGGAGGACAAAAGCCTCGCAGACGACCACCGCTCGGACAAATGGAGTGCCTGCGAATAAAAGCACTGGAAATGTGTTTTTGGTGGCGGCATAATGGAGTGATTCATTTCCGAAGCCCGCAGGCTGTTGGTGGCTAATGACAATCATTAGTCACGAGTAAACGTTCGTACCATACTCAAATAATCCTAATTTGCATATTGCACTATAAAACATGTATATTTAATGTAGTTGGTATTGTAAGGGTAACAAAAAACATTACATTAAGATAAGAGTCTGGAAATATCACAAGAATTATTTTCTTCTTCCTATGAAAAGCAAATGGCGTAACAGAACGCATCCTAGTCACATGCTAAAGCAACGAACGGTGAAAGTTCAAATCCATCTTGTTTAAAGAGATCGCTTCGTTTGTCTACTTGTTTGCGCGACGTTGGGGGGCTGGATTACTGACTGCGCGTATCGACTTCTCGCGTCGCACCCGGACTTGGCACACATCGGGGGCAAACGTGTGAATCGATTTCGAGCATGTTCTTTACTCGCACACGAGTGGCGAAAACAATTAAACACCGCGTATGAAATGGAGCGAAACTTGATAGGCCCTGTTATTTTTCTTCGCCTTATGCAACGATTTCGACTCTGTTTCGCGGTGCTGATTAATTCGGTTATGATAATATCACCTACTTTACAAATTGCGAGGGTATCGAAATCGATTAGCAATAAACAGCTCGGTTGGATTAAAAAAAAACTACCATGTCTTGCTAACCTTCTAGAAGGAAATGTTCGAACGTAATCCATTAATGTTAGCGATTTACTTAACCGTTTCGCCTCATTAAATAATAGAGATGTGATTATATTTTACATTGCCGAGTTGTGTCATTTACGATGGAGGTAAACTTTGTTCTGCAACTTTCTTGAGTTTGAAACCATGCCGTCATTAACAGAGCATTTCTAAAAGTTTTCAACTCACAGGCTGCTAATAAAGTTTAGTTCAAGCAAATAATGATAAAATAAACCCCTATTTTTGCGTTTATTTCATCATTATCTGCTTGATCTGATTATCTTTCGTTTTAGTATTGAATTATATCTGTTATATCTAAATTGAGATGAATTTATAGAATACAAAAGCTCTGTTTTTTTCAACATCACTAAATCCTTTTTACTAATAAATAAAAATGTGATATAAACGAAATATTTTGCATATCTATTCTTTGTCGGGGAAAAAATATGACCAACGATTGAAATAAGTATATAAAAGTTAAATCAACTAAGAAGAAGAAAAAGTTAAATATTAAATAATTTATTAAATAGTCAAACAGTTTTAAGTATCCGTTTAATTTTTAAGTATGTGTCAGTACTTATATATAATATTTTCAGCTACTTTTCGCTTCAGTCTTAAAGAAAACAAACTTATCTCTCCGATATTCTACTTTGTATCTTAAAATGCAAAGCGTTCTGTGAACGATAAATAAATACGAGTACATAAACACTGACGGCGAATGCTTGCAAAAGGTTCACTTCGATTTTCGCACGACACAAGCGTCGATGACATTTTGTTGAATACGTTACGAAATTCGTAAACCGTTTATGATAAATGGCACAATTTAGTTTTCGCTTTCAATGCAAACACATATTGTCTTCCTTTGAATGCAATGTTTGGTTTCGTATAAGTATCAGACCATTTAAGGCTACAGGTTATTAAAGACGAGAAACTTTTGAATGTTGAATAATTTAGGTTATACGTAGTATATATTAAACGCTGTAAAGCTAAATTTATCTCTCAAATAGGAAAAAAACGCCAAAAATTATGAATTAAGAAAAACTAGTACTAGTATGTATATTTTACGTAAATAATTTTTTCTACGTTAAATTAGTTTTTAAATATCATAATGCGTTTCACTTTATCTCATTACCAAATACATGTGCTATACAAAACTTGTCTGCTTTTATTCGGTTATGATTAATCTTCTATGTGTTAATAAATAAAATAAATTAATTTAAGAATTTAATTGACTAAAAACAAGTGAAGACCACAAACAAATTTAACGTAAAAGCTTTCCCGGTGGCACCTAAACTAAAAAAACGTTACGCTAAATTGCCGATTAATATTTTTCCCTTAAACATACGTACCAATTTTAAACCAAACAATCCAGGACTTGGCAGGGCAGACGCCCTTACAACGAACCGAGCGCAACCACTACCCGACTCTGCTCTACAAACTGTTCGAACTTAGGAAGTGAGGAGTACCGAACTCGCGGTTAAAAGAGATTTCGAACGCTGCGCGTGCGCCGAGTTCCGAGCGGGCACTGAGCGGCGTTCACCACCACCGGCGGCCGATATGAAAGTATGCTGCATCAAATTAATTTCATTTACCTCGCTGCGCCCTGGCTGGCGTTCGCTTCGCTTATCGCGACAACGACGGTTGTGCAATCGCCGAGCCATCGGCGCTCGCGTGCCACGATCTCTTCGCGTTTTGTCACTGGCGCTCCTCAGTTCGCGCGGAGCGTCAGCGGTATCGAAACTCACAACCGAAGAGGTGAAAAATAATTTTTTATTTTAATATCTTTTTTAAAACAGCCTTGATGCTTTTTTAACTGTGGTAGGACCACGCAACACTGTTCGCTGTTGCACGAATGGTCAGGTCCGTCCGGGTTAGTACCACGACCTCGTAGAAGATTGGCGTAAATTGGAAGTGTCACACATTTGCGTTTCGTTCGGTGAGTGAGGTACCCGGAGCCCATTTTATTATAAGGTGGCAACGTATCTGCAACCCTACGGGTGTTGCAAATGTCCATGGGCGGCGGTTATCACTTACCGTCAGGTGAACCGCCAGGTCATTTGCCACTTTCTCAAATAAAAAAATGCTCTGTGGTCGCGCAATTCTGTGCTATTTACTGTGAAATGAATGCTTGCTTGCCCCATGGTTGCTACTGTCGAGATCATATATCGATATATCGATATATCCGATTTTCTTTTAATAATGGATTAAACCTTAACTTGCAGTTAGTTTTTTTTATTATCTTCCTTAGTAGTTATGAGTTATATCTTTGTGTGGTTCAGATTTCAACGATCTGTTGAAACTCGATGAATATATAATTTAATATCAAGCTATTTAATTAAACAAATCTTTACGCAAGCACTCGTTTTAAAGTATAATGCTTTGGTAGAGCTACGTAATGCTTCTGTTGTTGCACGCAAGAGCCGGTTCTACCGGGGAAGTAACGGCCTCGAAGAAGACGGCATGTAGTAAAAGCATTTCTGTTTTTGCATTTCGTCCGGTCATTAAGTCAACCACTGACCCACCTCCTCAAAGACTGGCAACGCAACTGCAATCTCTTAAGTGTTGCAAATGTCTACGCTATTGCACACGATCAGGCGAAACGCTTGCCCATTTGCTATCTACTCTTTTAAAAAATTTAAACTGGTGACCGAAGTGTACATTGAAGTTCTATTATAAAGTAAAAATATGTCCGAAAATATTTATATATTTATTTGTCATTGCAACTGTGACAAGTCGGTTGGCTCAGTTCTCGCTCAATAGTAAAGTATGACAATTCGGCGATGAAATGCTAGCACCTTACTTATTTACAAAATAAACTCCTGTTGCGTATTTCAACCGTTTATAAGACTGGGAACACTTGGCCCCATACATAATTATAATTGCAATTGCATTGAGTAGGCACAGTAGGTAATCACGTCAGTTATGATTTAGATGAATATTTATAATTAACCTCGCTGATTCTTAGTCGGTGATTTTATTGAAAACTAAATTACAGTTTGAGTAATTGCATTGAACTTATGAAATTTATCAATCTCGAGGTCATAACACGTCATGAATGAGCAACGGGCCCCTCGACCTCTCACAGTTGTATGTTCAACGTACTTGACAGCTCAAAGTTACTTATTAGAATACGATGTAGAGTAGTATTGACCTAGACATCATCATCATAAACCAAGTCACCATAAGGTTGAACATAAATTAATTCAAATGTTGCAATGTACATTCGTAGTTTAATGTGTATGGAGGTCAAATAAACATCTAGAATTATCCGCGCAAGTAAATTGCATTAAATTAGAAGGTCTGTCACCGTTTCGTGTCAAGGATTAGTGCTGTATAATTCAAAAAACATTATAAATTGCAACGTGCACTAACTCAGCTTTATTTGTGTTTTATTTATTGGCAAATATAATTAATTGAACGTCACGGAAGTTTAATTAGCTGGGGCGAGAGCTCCGCAAAGGAAAAAAAGAATACAAGAGGGAACATGGCGTTGGCTAACTGAGCCTGACAAATGACAGTTTGGTGTGGTTATCCGGTTCTGGAAATGACTAGTAATGATCACAAAAAATTAACATCCCATTTATTTTTTGATGGATGATATAACGCTTTCAGTCCGGACACTGCATAAAGATCCCGTCGGTCACAGAACCTGGGGAAATTTAAAGAACCGTAAGTTTATAATGATAAAAGTTAAGGTTTTTGGGATAAATTAAACCTTAAAAATGGAAACACAAGCAATGTTTCACATTATTTTTGGCTGAGCTGCGAAAAAAATTGTAGTTACATGAGAATTATATAAGCAATCGTTTCAATTTTTAATGAGATAGTTATTAAAGTAATACTCCTTTTGCATATAAAGTAGCTTTTTATTTCCTATTGATTTGTCAACTAGAATGAATTGTTAATAGGAATGTATGCATATTTATAATATTATGGTTATACGCTTATTATAAGAGCTGTGATAGCTCAGTGTCCGGGCGCTCGCCTTTAATTCAATATACTCGAGCAACCTGAGTTCGATCCCCGGTGCCGGCACCAATGAAGTTTTTAACTTTAAGTGCTGACTTATCACGTGTTCCGCGGTGAATGAAAACATCGTGAGGAAACCTGCATATTTTCGAAATAGTAACAAAAAAAATTATTTCGAAGATATGTGAAGTCCGCCAATCCGCAGTGGGGCCGTGTGGTGGACTATGCCCTGATACCCTCTGTATAGAGGAGGCCTTTGCCCAGGGACATGTATAGGCTGTTACTTTACTTTACTTTACTTTTATACGCTTTAACAAGATGTTACGCGACTATGCGATATTTTAAAATAAAGTTTCGGTATGTACAAATAATAGTCAGATCAAAGAAGCAGGTGTGTACTTATGAACGCACGTTAGAGGTTTACTTCTTTAGCTTAACAAAAGAAAATTTACCTTAAATTTTATCCCCTGTGCCAATACTCTTTGTTTGTGAAAAAATCCTTAAATGCAATTAATAACGGTTTAATTAAATACCTAACTTGGAATTATAGATATATATTAAAAGATGCCATTGGTTGCCATGGTAATACCGTGAAGTTGGTTTAAGCTGGTCGCTTTGCAACCAACTTCATCATGTCGCTTTTTGGCTGTCGGTGTGCACGCGCATCGTAAAAATTTTACTCTCATAATTTTTTCCAAACGTGCCAAAAGAAGCAAAACTTCAAAAATTATGAATATGCTACATGGGCGAAAGTAAACATGTAATTTTTCTAAAACTCAATGTAACATCTAAACATCTTACAATATAAAATGTTAATTTTGGAACCATATTTTATCGTATTAATATCTTAACGGACTAAAGTCAGAATTGCTACAAGCGCAATAAGCTATTGCGAACAGTGCGTCACCTGACCACTTAGCCGTTATAGGATAACGAGTTTCCAGCACCGCAACATAGTTACTTCTACTTTCATAATTCACATGTAGCTCGTGACGTCAAACGTTCGTCTCGAACATTCAATTTCTAACAAGCCGACCTTGACATGTGCGTAGTCACTCGATATAAGGGGAATAAAAACTCGATAAAGTTAAAAAAAATATTTCCATACAATTAATTACGGACTTGCAAAGGTCGTCATTAAATTAATTTCACTAATGGCAAATTCGATCTCAATAAAAGTCCTAAGAACTTGCTTGCCTCATTATAATGTTATATGTTCATATTAATGTTAGAACAAGCACCCACTCAAATTTAAAGATTTAAAAGGTAAAGATTCATTATTCTAAAAACAAGTCCTCTAGTACTTTCTATTATTTTTTATTTTATTTAACCTATTCATATGTGAATTTGAAATACAATTCTCTGGTGAGGTAGCCGGAGCCCAATTTTCAAAAGTTCAACGCATTTCCAACCCTGGGGTGTACCAGATGTCCATGGGCGGCGTTATTCACTTAACATCAGGTGAACTGCCAGCTCGCTTAGCAACTTTGCAGATAAAAAATTATAAAAGCGAGCATAAAAAGACATAGCACATACGAGGTGACTTAACATGAGCTCAACGCTGGAGCATCATCCCGAGGAAACCTGGATATTTTAGAAATAATATCATAAAATATTCGATGATTAGATCAAAATATTCATTGTCGACTAGGCCAATATACCCTCTGCACAGAGAAGGCCCTTCTTCAGCACTGGGACATAATTATATAGGCTGCTACTTTACTTTTTTTCTGTAAATAAGATTTCCGAACATCACTGTAAATGTGTATAAATAGGTTTGTTTGTCAACTTACACTAAAACGACAAAAATTACACTAAAACGTTGGAAAACCGATGTTTTATTCCCACGTCCTTAATGACAGTAAAAAAAGTGGGGAGTTTAAGTTGTATACTCCACAAACATACATTATGGGCTACTGCTCTAATGAGCTTTGTGTCTCTCAAATGAACATTTTTTCTGCAACTCTCTTTCTTCTTAACTAAATTCACAAATTTATATCCTCAGATTGCGATTCACCTGTCTTACTGTAAGCCCAATAGTTATTAGACATACATATTTAGTCGAATGTCCACAGAGATAGGAAGACGGTCTTAATTTATATTTACATGTATTTATAACTAACAAATACTCAACTTATCTGATATAATATATTAACAGTAAGACGTTTTGAAATCAGTAAATTTACGTCTGGAGATCACTTATATATATTTTGCAGACTAACGCCCGGTTTCTGAAACACTGATTATTTCGATCATTGAGAAGGCCAACTTTTGGTAACTCAAATAACATTTGAAAAGCTATTTGACAGCTGATTAGTTGACTTCTACGACCATCAGTGTTTCAGAAACCGGGCGTTAGAATCTGACTTTCATCAGAGGCACGTTATCGTTATTAATTATTCAAATGATAATCTCCCAATGGATTTCAGAAATAGTTCATTCCATAGAGTTATTTAAAATAGGTTTAAATTATAAATTTTATTCAAAACGATCTATCTGATATGTTTTAAATTTAGGTATTTCACTAATAAATTATTGCTACTTATTTTGTACCTACAGTTGCTAGCTACGGTTGCAGCCTTTTCCATCATTAAGGATCCTTCCATAACCTACGGTAATGATTTCTTGTATTTATGCAAATACTGCACATTGTTAAACAAAACTTTTTTCAGAATTTCATCACGCTATAAAT